TGTGAGATGCATGGTGACTTCAGGAGATGACCAGTGATAATCCATCACTCTTCTCCCATCTCTTTACAGATGAAATATAAGCAGCACCTCCCTTTCTTGGAGGGCATGCATGGTGCTTGATGATATAACAGGTAGGCACAGCTAACTACTTCTAGTCTCAGATGGTGGTGGGAGAAGTATCAGATGCTGCTGCTCGTTTGGCATATCAGGTAGTCAGGTGGCAGTGCCTTGGCCTGTGGGATGTACGAGGCTGTCAGCCATATCTGTAGGAAACTCTAGGTATATAAGAAAATGTGGGGCTGGGCACGGTGGCTCACGCCTGTAATCCTAACACTCTGGCAGGCTGAGGCAGCAAGAGTGCTTGAGATCAGGAGTTCAAGACCAGCCTGAGCAAGAGCAAGACCCCATTTCTACAAAAAATAGAAAAATTAGCCAGGCGTCGTCGCACGCACCTGTAGTCCCAGCTACTCGGGAGGCTGAGGCAGGAGGATCACTTGAGCCCAGGAGTTTGAGGTTGCAGTGAGCTGTGATCGTGCCATGGCAATCCAGCCTGGGCAACAGAGTGAGACTCTGTCTCAAAGTAAAAAAAGAAAGAAAAGAAAAATGTGGGAAATCAGGTGGGCCCATTCTGCTGTAGAACCTAGCAGAGAGCACTCCGAACACCCTTGCCACAATATTTTGTCATCTATTGAGTGACACAAATCAGGAGTTTTGATTTTTTTTTTTTGACCATTTAAAAATGCAAAAACCATTCTTAACTCACAGGCCATACAAAAACAGGCAATGGCTCGAATCTGGCAACCCTTGATATAAACCTACAGGTTTTTCTTGTTGTTTGGTAATGCTTTCTTCTTCAATAAACTCTTCAGGCAGTGATGAGATTAAAAATAGTGTATGTTTAATAAAAAAAATTAGTACTAAATTTCTATTTTCCCAGAAAGCTGATAAATTTGTAAGTTGTATAAAATGTTTTTCCACATTGGCCGTCCAAAGTGCTAACTCTGACCACATGAAAACCACAAGTCTCAGATCTGCAGAAGAAGCACCAGCATCGTCTTCAACAGTTAGTTGTTCTTTTAAGACTGCTTCACAAGTGACGCTGTAGCAGCATATAACTCTGTAAAAATGACTTTTCATTTAGATCAAATGGCAGTTCCTCTATGTTAATCTCACTAACTTTTCCTCTCCAAGGTTTGTCATGCAAACTGTAATGTCAGCTGTCCTGTGCTGGTTGTCCTATTAGCACAACTTCACAACTGCTAATGGTGCTAACTTTCTATTAGTTCATCAGCCGCTTCAAACAGAAAACCCACTAATCCTAATAATCACTTATCTGTTGGAGTGAAACACCTGACATTATAAATGCTACTATAAGAACAGTTGAAAAGTTCCACGCTGAATGTAAAAGTATTTTTTTTGTGTGTGTGGTGATACTCAAATACCAATTTTGGGGGAGTATAGCGTCATAGTAAAATATATTCTTATTGAATCAAGAAACCAATGGAGCAGAAAGATTCTTAGAATTAGTTGTAGTACACACAGATGCATAATTGTGTCAAACAAAACTGTGATATTCTATAGCAAACGGAGCTGCAGTTGTCAAAATTTACAAATATT